TTCACTTGAAGTCGTCTGCCGTAGCTTGTAGACATTGGTTATTTTTAGAATGCCAATGAATAAGTTGACAACTAGCTTCCGAGTCATCCTTTTGGGGGAAGCAAGTAAAAAATATCAGCAAGGGCCCTGGGGGCGGAGGAAAAAGGAGGTAAGGTGCGGGTGATATATGAAATTGAGTATAAAAGGTCGGAGTGGGGAGGGGTCGAAGGAGGAGGGTGGGGGGGATAAGTTTATGATCTGGAACAAGAATGAATTTAAGAAGAAACGTGACAAAAAACGTTAAGTATGCTCAGTATGCTTATTTATAGTGTGTGCGCAGGTTTAAGTTTGTTTAGATTGNGGATGGAACCGGAAGTGAGCGGAAGTGACGAGCTGGCTCATTCTGAGGGAACCAACGCATGTATGTGTGTGTGTGTGTCAGAGAGGAGTATATATAGATATATGATGGGGAGATCTGTATAAGTTTATTATCTAACCAGCTTGGGAACCCATCTTTGCCGGGAAACTTAATTTTTGCTATAAAAGTCAACCAACTCGGCTTAGAATTTTTGAACCTAGCTTAGAACATATTAGTAATAATACCGCGTTCCCCAAACAAAACTTGATGCCAATCGGGCAAGTTGTTTATGAGTTATGATCGAACATATCAAACGATCGAACAATTAGAAGATATTACAACTTTTTTATAATTAATTTAACACAGTGGACTCTTAACCACTGTGATCCTGCCAGGGTACATCTTGTGATCTTGTTGCATAAAACATGCCGAGTAGCCTGACTGGACAAAACGTGCTGGGTAGCCTGACTGGACAAACCGTGCTGGGTAGCCTAAGTGGGCAAAACGTGCTGGGTAGCCTGAGTGGACAAAACGCGCTGGGTAGCCAGACTGGACAAAACGTGCTGGGTAGCCTGACTGGACAAAATGTGCTGGGTAGACTGACAGGACAAAACGTGCTGGGTAGCCTGACTGGACAAAACGTGCAGGGTAGCCTGACTGGACAAAACGTGCTGGGTAACCTGACTGGACTAAACGTGCTGATTAGCCTGACTGGACAAAATGACAGAAAGCATACTGTACATGCTGTACCGGCATGGATCCTGAAACTTTTAGACTGGCGTGTAACAATGTGAGGTATTATGAAAATGACATTTAAACGATCTTAAAAGTATTTCATGCTATTTTTTAAAATTTTATCTTTAATAAATGTTGTTACTAATTTGATACTGTATATATTTTGCTGGTGCAAAAAAAATGACCTTTTCAATGAAATAATATTGAGATCTCTCTTATCTCTGGATCTATAGTAACATCTATGCAATGACGAGGTTTTGTGAATAAATCAGCGTAATTTTACATAATATCCATAAACAACACGGATTAAGTAAATAAAAAAAAAAAATTAAGAAAATAAAACAGATTTTTTAACTATTGTGCAATACGGCATGAGAAAAATACAATTTGTGCTATAGAGGGGGAAGTTTTGAATTTTAAACCTGTTACTTCAGCGATCACAGGATTAACCTTAAACGATGAATATATCATAATTATTCATCCTTGATGCCAGGAATACAGGGGCGGATACAGGATTTAAGTGAGGGGGGTCGAGCTAGATATTTAGGTACAAAAAAAAACCAGATTTAGGAACCATAAAACGTGCCGAAGGTGAATTTTTTTTTTGATATTCTTGTTTCGCATTATGTTTTCTTTCCCTTAAGTGCTATTGAGAAGCTATTCTGAAATCTCAGGGGGGTGCGAAGGTCCTGCCGCACCCCCCCCCCCCTCTGATATCCGCCCCTGCCAGGAAATGTCGACTTCTCCCTTTAAAAAGAGTTTCTGCAGTGGATATTGAATCATTAAGCTATAAAATTTCTTCTCAAAAGTTCAAAGAACATTTTTTTTCTTTGGGATAGTTTATTATTATGGAAAACTATAGAATTCTAAGGATTTTACAGTTCATCATTTCTTATAACAGTACATATAGGTTATAAGTTCATGGATCAATAATTAACTAGGTGAAGCTATTTCTCGCATATTGTCAATTTCGACCTCGTATACGCAAAAGTGCTCCGGCATTACGCATAAATATTGTACAATTCTGTAACTATAAACACAGATACAAGACTTTTCCATTTATGTTACAATCAATCAATCATACATTATTCGTTTACCATCATATTTGTATTCTTACAATTAATATATTCATCTATCTAACTTTCTATCTATCCATCTATCTTTCTATCCATCTATCTATCTATCTATCTATCTATCTATCTATCTATCTATCTATCTATCTATCTATCTATCTNTTGTCCAGCGCCCGGTCCACATGCCAGGGTAGGTCGAGTGGGTTTCGTATTGAGGTCGTGACCTCTTTAGATCCTCTTCTAGCTGGAGGTCACGGATATCATCTAGAAAACAAATTGGTTTGTTAAACTTTTTTTGTTTAGTCTTTCAACGAAATTTTAATGAGAGGGGGGCAGTAACTGATTAGTTATCTGCAAGTCACCTTTCAGGAGCAGCACCAACAAAAAATAACTAATTTCTAAAAATAAATCATGGATATATCATTCGTTCTTTATCAGAATTTTGTTTTCAAGGGTACTGTGGTGGATCAGTCACTTTAATGATACTTTTAAGCATTCGTACTCCTTGATTTTTGTAATTTTAAAAATTAACTTTTAAACAAATAAGAAATGAATCTTAAAAATACCCAATTTATGTTAAATATTCAAATCGAAACTTAAAATTAAAAATTCTTTTTGTTTTTCATAAAATGTAAAAGAATTAATGTTGACGCGTTGTATAAATGATGTTTCCATATTTCTTCTGATTTGAATAATTTAATAAAACTCAAACTGACATAATTCCCCCCCATCCTAGTCTACAGGTTTAGGTTATTTAGTTAGGTAAACATGAATGTGTTTATGTTCACAGAGACATACAACCCCTGGAAGAAAAGGAGAAAAAGGGAGAACGGGTTAAAGGAAGAAAGGGAAAAAGAGGAAAACGAGAAAAAGGGAGAAAGGGGAAAAGTAGGGGGGAAGGAGATGTAGGGGTAGGGAAAGGAAATGTAGAGGGGGGGAAGGAGATGTAGGGAATATATTCGATATTGATGTTCACATCTATCAATATATTGAAAAAAGTTGGATTTATTTTTTATATAGTTGTATGTGTCCATCGAATATTTTCAATTTTACTAAATAGAAACTATCAATATATTTCGTCCGTTGGATGGTTGTGTCCAACCTACAAACTTTTTATCTTATATCTGTATAAGTATCTATATATAAATCTATTTATCTATCTATCTATCTATCTATCTATCTATATATCTATCTATCTATCTATCTATCTATCTATCTATATATCTATACATCGATCAACCGATCTATCTATCTACTACTATATATCTATCTATCTATCTATCTATCTATCTATCTACCCTGATTTTGTTTTACTCCATTGCCAGTAAAAGACTGAGTTTTTTAATCAGCAGATTTGTTTATGCTGCAATCAAACGCGCTAACAACTATACCTTTTCATCAAGCTATTAGTCATGGAAATTCTCCAAAAAAGAAATTACATTATCATTCGCATTCTTTAATAGATGCATCTCCTATATAATTATATATTTATATATACATATATATATATATATATATGGATATACATTTGTAATCATGTTTAACTCAAGGTGTGCTGTAAACCACACTTACAATATTTAACTGTAATACACCAAATCTACATGTGTCCGGCCTCCTCCTATTGGTCGAGAAACTAAATTCAGCTTCTCATTGGTGAAGACGAACAGGTGTGTGTGGTTCCTATTGGCTGCCCATCCGGAACTTCTTACCAAAATTAAGGTCGTAGCACGTGTGCTTGGGTCAAGCCAGAACACCTGCCTTCTCTACTTACTGCTTGGAAATCATGCAATTCATCAAAATAAGAAATTGCAAAAAGAAAATCAAAAACAAAAATGAAAATTCACAATATTGAACAAATATTTAAATGATCATAAAATATGCTAAATTTCTCTTGAATATAAAATAAATTTTTTTAAAATTTGAATTTAAATATTTCATATTACATTGAAGTCACTCTCAAATTATTATCCGTGTTTTAGTCTTTCAGAAGATTTCACAAAAATCTGAAAAAAAGTTTACATATTTCAAAATTGTATTATCTTAAAGTTTGCTTTTATTACAATATGCTAAATCTTGCCTTTAACAGTAAATTTAGGCCTTAACGATTTTTTAAAATATATTTACCACAACTTAAAAGTGTAAAACTCTAAACTCTAAACCTGAAGATCTCTAAACCTTAAGATTTCTGGTTCTCTCTATTTCAAGAAACAATTAATTTAACTTTTTTCTATTTTTCATTTAAGAACTAGCAGTAAGTATACAAATAATAAAATATACTAAAAACTAATTATTTACTTTAATTCTATAAATAAATGAAAATGTGCACATTATATCACAGATAGATAAACATTAGGTAATTCATTCATTCGTCTTTCATGCATCCTCATTCATTTTTCATTTATTCTTTATTAATTTTATTATTAATTTTTTTATTCATTCTTTATTCATTTTTCATTGATTTTTCATTCGTTTTTCATTCATTCTTTATTTTCGTTTCCATACACTTTTGCTATAGCAAGCTTCTTGAATTTTTTAATTAACGAATTTACAATTTAATCAGAGAAAATAAGAAGAGAATTTTGATAGTGTTGAACGGAGTAATCTGAGCTGAAGGAAACTATTTTAAGAAAGATCCAGGTTTTTTTTTAATGTTTTTATAAAATACTTCGGAATTATCTAGAATTGATTTGAGCATAGTTGAACACAAGGTACTAATTGCGGTCGCGTATACTCTGCGTACATATTGAAACCAGTTCTCTCTGGGCGCACTTTGTAAACAAGAAAAGATGCCTCAGTGTTCGTTTAGTATCCGAGGTTGTTAAAGCATTTAGTTGTGATAATTTTTAAAATTCACGTAATAGTTTCTTATGACCAGAATATTTCATAGATTATTTTTGTGAAAATGGATTCCATGTCAGGCTGTGACATCCATCTTGGGTTTACTTTTCCGCCAAAAGACAGTACGTTGCAGTACAAAAAAATGCGTACACCTCTGAAATAACTTTCCTTGCATTAGTACCTTGGTTGAACAGACATAACTTACTTTAATTAATTAATCTTGTAGAATGAGTTTAACTCGTTTGAACCAATTGAAATTGCTATTTCCGGCCAGAGAATCTCCATAAATGAAAACTAAAATGTTTATGAATAATAAAATATACAAAAATGGTTTAAGGGATATGTACAAAATCTGACTTAGATTCATCTAGTTTTTAAGCTTCTGATACAGGATCATTAACATCCTTTTGTTAACTAATTAACCGACGAAAACTCTTCGTTTAAGACGAAAACTTTTCGTGTAATCAGAACAATAAAGGATGTTGGGTGCAAAGGTGCTGACTACAATTTGGTGCTTTTTTGGTGCGATTTCATGTCTTTGGTTTGCAGCTGCATTATAGAAAGGTTAATATCAACCTTTTTTACAACAAAAATCCCTAAAATTGGATTCTAGGAATACATAACTTTTTTTATACACATTTTAATATACATTTTATATATAACAAATTTTGAGGAATAAAACAAAATATTTCCCAAAAAAGAATCGATAAAAAACTGTTTTGAGTATCAAGGCTATATGAGAAATATCAATTGGAAGTACAGATTTAGCTAGGTAGGTACATTTTTCATTTAGTTCATAACAAATATGCTGAATCAAAATAAGATTTAAAATAAAATGAGAATATGATTTAATCTCAGAGAGTACATATATATAAGCTCTTGAGTAAGAAACTTTGGTAAACTATATAAATGAGAAGAAATAAAAACAGAAATTAGATTTAAACCGGTTAAGATTATTTTGTGAGAAGCCCGTTTGGGGATGGGTGACCGTAGTTGTAGTTGTAGTTCTGGTACTGGGTGTAAGGTGAAGAGGTGGTGTAGTACTCTGTTGTACTTGTAATTACTCCGCCTGCAAAACAATCAATAAATAAAGATTTTTTATTTATAATGATTACTGAAATATCAATTTAATAAACGTGCATGGAATAAAGAAAATAATCAAAGTTGAATTTAATCAAAAAAGCAAATTTACTTGATTATTTTCCGAAGTAAATAATTGAGAAATCTTTTTTTATTAAAAATTATGAAAAAAAAATTTAATTCGAACCTGAGTTAAAGGATGAATCTCCTAAAATTGGAGAGAACATGGAAGGTTTAAACTCCTGCATAGCGATCGAACCAAGAGGAGCCAATCCACCACCTAAACAAATAATAAAAATTTCAAGAATTGCAAAAGATTGTTTAAAAGGTTGTAAAAATGACTATATTTGTAAAAACTTCCATCAAGTACGATTTTGTAGTAAAAAAATAATGATTGAAAAGTTAGATGAAGCAAAGTGAAGATTTCAAGTCTGAATAAATATTTGAAATGAATGAAAACGCTAAAATCAAACTAAAGACCTAAACTAAGTAAAGAAAAGCTTAGTAAAGAAAAGCTTAATCAATTTAAAGGATGTTAAATAGGACACATGGAGGGGAGAGCTCCCCCCCCCTCCCCTGGAAGAAAGTACAAAGACAGGAAATGACAATGTTTGAAACTATCAGAAGGTTAAACATCCCTGATAAAGCGTAGAGAGAAGAGTGTGAGAAAACGAAGAAGGAGAAAAAAGGAAAACACGAAAAATACCAAGAAAGAGCGTGAGGGGAGAATTTGGAATTCGTGGAATATTCTAGAAAACTAAGATTTGTTTTCTAGAAGTGAACTAACCCCTGTATATGTTCCCAGGGTGGTTTAGTAGAATGACTTGACTACTGAGGATGTATAAGAAGGTTGGATAAATGCTGGTGATTGAATCATGCTAACGTGTAATACGGGTGGGAACTTACTCGGACTAATTAAACTTAAGAAATAGAAGAGGAGAAATTGGGAGTTGATAAAGGGGGGTAGGGGGGGGGG